GGGGGCGCCGGGGGCGCGGGGGCGGGCGCGGGGGCGGCGGGCGCGGGCGCGGGCGGCCCGGGCGGGCGCGGCGAGTACGAGGAGCTGGGTGCCGTAGAGCAGCACGTGCGCTACGAGACCACGGGCCCGGCGCTTTGCACCGTAGTCTTCCTGCTCGTCTACTTCTTCGGCATGGCCAGCTCCATCTGGTGGGTGATCCTGTCGCTCACGTGGTTCCTGGCGGCGGGCATGAAATGGGGCAATGAGGCCATCGCCGGGTACTCGCAGTACTTCCACCTGGCCGCGTGGCTCGTGCCCAGCGTCAAGTCTATCGCCGTGCTGGCGCTCAGCTCGGTGGACGGCGACCCGGTGGCGGGCATCTGCTACGTGGGCAACCAGAGCCTGGACAACCTGCGCGGCTTCGTGCTGGCGCCGCTGGTCATCTACCTCTTCATCGGCACCATGTTCCTGCTGGCCGGCTTCGTGTCGCTCTTCCGCATCCGCTCGGTCATCAAGCAGCAGGGCGGCCCCACCAAGACACATAAGCTGGAGAAGCTCATGATCCGCCTGGGCCTCTTCACCGTGCTCTACACCGTGCCCGCCGCCGTCGTGGTCGCCTGCCTTTTCTACGAGCAGCACAACCGCCCGCGCTGGGAGGCCACGCACAACTGCCCGTGCCTGCGGGACCTGCAGCCGGACCAGGCGCGCCGGCCCGATTACGCCGTCTTCATGCTCAAGTACTTCATGTGCCTGGTGGTGGGCATCACGTCGGGCGTGTGGGTCTGGTCTGGCAAGACGCTCGAGTCGTGGCGCGCGCTGTGCACCCGCTGCTGCTGGGCCAGCAAAGGCGCGGGCGCGGCCGGCGCGGGCGCGGCGGGGGGCGGCCCCGGGGGCGGGGGCCCGGGGGCCGGCGGGGGCGTGGGGCCGGGCGGTGGGGCGGGCTCCCTGTACAGCGACGTCAGCACCGGCCTGACGTGGCGGTCTGGCACGGCCAGCTCCGTGTCTTATCCAAAGCAGATGCCATTGTCCCAGGTCTGAGCGGAGGGGAGGGGGCGTCCGGGAGGGCTGGAGAGGGGGCGAGGAGACCGAGTGTTGCGGCGGGGGGGACACTCGGAGGCAGAGGGTCCCCCCCTTCACCGTGTTGATTGCTATTAGCATGATAATGAACTCTTAATGGTATCCATTAGCTGGGACTCGCTTAGAACAAAGTACCTGGCATTGAAGGCTCCCAGCCCCAGCCCCCGTTCCTCTACCGACGGGCGAGGAATTCCTCCCGCCAGGCGTTAATTTGTCTTGGCAGAGGAGCGTGAGCTCTGCTGCCGCGTTTCCAGGACCCAAGGTTTGGAACCCTCGCTGGTTGCCATTTGCTGAGCTTGAAGCCAGACCTACAGATTTCACCTGAGGGACCTAGTTTCCGCCCTCGACTCTCCTGCGTAAACCCTCACCCCTAACACATCCTAGAGGAGGGATGACCGCGACCTAATGGGATTGCACGGTTTGGGTATTCTTAATGACCAGGCAGATGCCTTAAGTAAACAAACAAGAAATGTCTTAATTATACACCCCAAGTAAATACGGGTTTCTTACATTAGAGGATGTATTTATATAATTATTTGTTAAATTGTAAAAATGTGTAAAATATGTACATATCCAAAGATATACAGTCTGTACATTTTCTGTAAAAAGTTTAGAGGCCACCCCTGTAAGAACAAATATAAGTATTCTATTTTGGCAATAAAATGACTTTTGATAAATGATTTAAACATTGCCCTCTCCCCCTGCCTCTCCTAAACTGTTAAACCTTGAAAGTGCTTTTTGCTGAGGGCCCGTTGGAAACACGGACATTTCCTAGTTTCTCATTATGTACGCTGCCCTTAGGCATGGAGAAAATGACCTGTTAAACTCTAGTTCCTAAGTTGTTAGCAAAGTTGAAATATCACTATTGAACTGAAATCACGATTAAGATTTTGCACCTTTCCCGAGAAGGTGGTGTTTTTTGAATGGTAGCTCTTTTCTGATTCATGGGTAACAACACTCACCTTAGTGTATGTAAACGGAACTTTTGCAAGGCACTAATTCCACTCCGCCTTGTTATTTATCTCGTATGATATCACTAAAGGCTTCAGACTCCACGTTCATTTCTCACGTCTGTGATTCTGAAAGCACCTGCTCTTGCAGGACTGAACACACTGCTGAAGGGTAGGGTAGAGGTTAATGTTTTAAGCCATCGATCACACTTTACAGTGTAAGTCACTCGACAGTTTGGTGGTAGAGCAGGCGCTCTTTACTGGATTAAACTAACGGGTTAACATCTTAATAACCTTCCAGGCTTGTGTATATCACATGTGCTGCTTTTCCTAGAGAAAAAGCTATTGTTCCTCTGTCAAGACTAAGCTAATTGATTTGAGCAGAAGGCTGTTGAATTAGCAGAAGAATGCTTTGGCAATTGTTGAACTTTTTACCTGTCTGCCTAGTGGCTCAGCACATCATTCCTTTAAGAGGAACCAAATGAATAGGGTTAATCTGTAGGGAACTTGGTCTTTTGAGTTTGAAAAACTTTGATCTTTTCTCCTCTCCAAATGTGCTGTATAGTCTGAAGTTTCTTTCCCTGCGGCCCGGCTCCTCTTGGTGCAGACCAATTGGCCACTGCGGAGCCTTAAAGTTCTTCCATTAAAGGGATGTGGGACTTTTACTTTAAAAAGGAGAGAGCGCGAGGGAGAGGAAGACTTGTAACAGTTAGTGAAGACCAGAGGCACAAGTGCGCGCAGCCTTTTAAACAGCTTTCCCCGGCATTGTTAGCCAGCCTGCAGGCAGCTAGGCATGGGTTGAAGCATTATAGAAAAGGGCTCTGAATGCCCTACAGGTGGTCTGTGCACATAATCCCCCAATTTAAAGCGTTTTCCTTTGCTGGACAATTGCATTACAAAACTCCCTTCTTTTTCGCTCCTAATTGAACCAATGAACTATTATAAACTACAAGTTTTTCGTAAAAAAAAAAAAAAAAAAAGAGAGAAAACCTTCAGTGCCTAAATTCTATTGACTAAATTCTGGCAAGTTTTCTGAACCGAACCTTTTAAAGCACCGGAAGTAAAAGCTTCTTCAGCAGACATTCCTCTTTTTCAGATATTTTTATTCCTCTTGCTTGTTATTTTCGGACAGATTAGCAATAATTTAAAAGTAATTGGTAAGGGTGTGTGTTCAGACTGAAAAGATAGCCCCAGGTCCCTTATTAACCTGTCAATCAAGATAAGAAATGGGCAGATACCCTGCTAATGATGGGGGGCATCAAACATTGGGGGCTGGGTGGGGACTTGTTCGCTGCATCCTGCTAAGAAGTTTGTTCTCTTTACTTCTCCTAATAGGAATATTTAGGGGTTCAAAAATTTTTTTCTTTTAATGAATAGGATGGAAACTACTTCTTTGACTGGTCTTTGTCATGTAAGAGGCTTTTAAGGAGGGTTTCTTGGGAGAAACATTTTGCAAATCCTTTCCAGAGTCATTCTTGGTGTTAATTGGATTTTTAAAATTAGATATACGGGAAGAACACCTACTTTAGCTATCATGCCGATTATATATATTTTGTAAGTCAGAACCACTGTAAAATCTTCACCTCCTGGCAGTTTATATTAAAGAATTACTATTTTGTAACTTGGGTACCAGTGAGTGGCCTGCGTCTAACCCATGGGGTGGCTCTCATGTGCTCTGTGTACATAAACCAGCCATAAACTTACACTTTCAGTTATAAAGTTTTAAAGGCAGTTCCCATAGGCTTTATCACGTATGTGAGAAGGAGAGACAGTTAAAAGACTAGTTAGCATATTGGTTTCCAAGTTTACCAGGAGTCTCACTATTGACATACTTTCAACTATGTGACGGTGGTAAAGGTTCAACTTTGAAGTTTTTTCCTTTATTAATTCTTCAGTATAGCCTTGTAAAATGCCACCTTTGATCACTTTTACAAAATGGCTACAATTCTGAGGACAGCTCTTAGGAGAAAGCTGCACCTGTCATCGCAGAGGCTGATTTTAGAGACTGAAAATGAAAACAGAGCGCTAGTTCCTTGAATTGCAAAGTTGCCAGTACCCAAAAGGTATCTATTAATGGGATTAAAGATTCCAAATAGGTTTGAGGAGTGGGAAAAGGGAGGAAAGAGTATTTGGCCATCAGCGTTAGATGAACATAGATGGATCCCTCACCAGGGCATGGAGCCAGTATGAGTTTCTGAAAACCTTGTCAAATATGGGGGGACGAGGAGGGGATAAGGTTACTGTGTGGCTAGAAGATCAATGTAAGTAAAGTCTAATATGGTTAAAAGCATTAGAAAACCCAAAGCTCATTAAAAGTACTTGTGGCAGAAGTTACGTGAAACACTTTCTTTTTGTTTTATAATGAACGCAATTTGAAAGTACCACAAAACAGAGGGGAAAGTGTATTAGAAGTTTAAGGAGCAAACTTTGTCACCATTACAGTGACACCTGTATTGATGTCACCTGCATTGATGACCTTAAAGGTTTCTGTAAGTCTTCAAAGTTAGAGGGAAGGAAATAGGATTGCTTTGCCAAAAGAAAAGTCACACATGGAGCCTCACACAGTTGTGAGCACAGGATGCAATTGAAAGCATAGTTACAAAATAGTCCCTTGAGATGCAGCACACAGCGCCCGCGGTGATCAACTTCCACACGATACAATACTGCCACCTGGCGATGCTGCAAAGTTCCAGAACCGGAGGATGGACGGGCTCCCTCATTTCAATTCTTTCAACTACTGAGCCCCCCGCAGTGCAGGCCTGACCCCTGAACAGAAGGCCTGCAGCTATTTTGTATTCATAATTTTGGACTCTTTCTCTCAAGGAAAAGATTCCCCAAACTGCATCCGTTTACAGCCCCAAGAGACCTCAGTTGAATTAAACCCTCGATACAACAGTTATGCGAAAACTCTAAGCTGGGTTGAAATCCAATGATAGGTCTTTTAAAAAATTGTCTTCTGAGTTACTTTTATTTCAAGAATGAGCAGCTCACCAAAGATTCACCACACCAGAATTTAGTGGGAGAAAGAATAAATCGTGAAGACCATGTTGGCGGGAGCCATGCAGTCGGCTCGTTCATTTCAGTACACGCCTTACCGTCTCCCACCAAGCAGTCCATCTGTGGAGTCCGGTGGATGCTCTCCAATGCCGCGCACGAACGCTGCTGGCTTGAGAGGGACGCAGGCTGTCCGCCATTGTCTAGCCAGGTGTTCGTGGAAGCACACCACAGAATAGAAACCGTGCCAGGATACAGGTCAGCCAAAGGGAAGAGAGGGGGTGGCGTCAGTTCTGGAATAGTTGAGCACAGCAGTGTGGGGAGACCAGGCCTGCGAGGAGGGCGTATAGAAAGGGACAGCTTCACGAAGCCCGTGTCTGAAGGCTTCTTGCTGCTGAAGGTCAGAATGATAGGGCCAGGTGGGAGGGGGTGGCACTGGTCAAGGGGAAGGGGAGCAAAGAAGGTCTTAGAGGTCACCTGTGCGATCCTGGAGTTTTCAAGGGGTTATTGAGAACCTTGCTGCTCTGTGAACAAGGAAAAGCAGCGTGACCTAAGAATATGTGATGGAACGTGGAATCGGAAGTTGTGCTGTATCCAGACCCACAGCCGTTCTGCAGGCACACGAAGGTGCCTCATTTTCAGGCCAGGAAACTGATGCCCGAAGCGGACCCGACTTGCCCAAGGTCATACAGCCAGGAGCAGAGCTGGGCTTAGAAGCCACAGATCCTACGTGTCACTCCTATTTCCCTAGGCCTTTCCCGCTGCCCTGGTGTCTGTGTAAGTCCCTAAGGCCACCAACCACCATGCGCATCCATCCCTGACATCAGCTCTTCTGGCTGTGTTCAGCCAGTCCCAGAATCCTACCAGAGTCCAGGTTTTCCATGGTCTGGTGCTGACCTACAGAGGAACATTCGAACACACAGCCTGAGAGGCTGCCCGGAGAGCTCCGGGAACGTTTGCCCCTCCGGCCCCTGGCCGACACGGGCCAGCTCACCTGCTCTGCACTGCCCACATTCACAGTAACACGATAATTGGCAGTGACTGGGAGGAAGGAAGGGGTCAGCGGCTGATGGAGTCACACCGGGGAGAGGGCCCCAAAGTGGGAGCACCATGCCCTGGTCAGCAGAGGCCTGGAGCCTCCAGGAAGAAAGCGAAGCCGCTGGGTGCTGAAGAGCCAGGCCGGAGCAGCAAACAGAGAGTGTGGCTGAGCCCCGCGGAAATCTCTGGAGGGAGAGGACCAACGGGAAGGGAGATGAACTCAGCTGATTTAAACCACAGGCTCCAGGAGAGGCCCCAAGAGGCTGGTGGTACCCGGAATGGGGCGGCCAGAGAAGGATGGAGTGAAGGAGGACGGGCCAGGCAAGAGCAAAGTCAGGATAAATTTTAACTAAATGACCATGTTTTAATGGCTTTCCAAGCCTTGGGGAGAACCATTATTCACCAAGGACAAAAGTACCTATTTATAGCACCTTATTTAATGCTCAGGTGAACCGTACACTAATTTAAATTAGAAAAACTATTTCCAACGTTCATCCTCTAACAAACCTGTTTCTAATTAACTAACACCCTGGCAGTAGCTCTCACCCCTGCCTACGTGCTAGAGGGGTGTTTCTTAAAAACACCATGTCCCGGAAGCACCCCAGACCAGCTGAACCAGAACTTCTGGGCATGGAATCTGGGAATTCAAAGTTTTCTCAGGCTACCCCAGGTGAATGATTCTCACGTGTAGGCAGAGTTGAAAGCCAGCGAACTGCAACTGAAGGTGACGTTATGATCTAAAGCGAAACAAAATACAACTAGAAGTTAACTAAGCAAACTGCTTTTGTCATCCAATTTAACTAATTTAAATGGAAGTGGTTTTTTTTTTTACCTTAAGTAAATATTTGGGAGAGGACAAGGGTGCCCTCACCTGGTCCAAAGGGAGAACTTCATGCTATGCTGTTTTGAACGGAAGCTCTCGCTACACAGGGCTGTTTTGGATAACCATGCTTTTGCTTTCACTTGTAATGAAACAACCAAAAACTGGGTACATAGGGAATGATTCTCTTAACCTAGAAATTAAACCCAACCTGTAAACCTAGAAGGACCCAATCATGTCGATATATTATTAGTAGAAGGTATTACAATTAAAGATACTCTTTTTCTTCAGTAAATGTTTATTTAGTAAAACCAACTCAGCTAGAAATGAAGGTTCATGCTGTGGTGGCCTGACCTGGGTGTGACTTTCCAAGACCAAGTGATCTGTCACCCTGTAGTCCTAGAGGCAGGCAGGCTGTGATCCTGAATCTATGTCACCATGTGTATCTTCAAAAGTAAACTCATACTATCTTACCTGATGCTGTAACTTTGCTTAAGTTATAGAATTTTTCGGATAACGTGTATTCAGTGCAGAAATCTACTCTTTCTCCAGGTACCCTGAAAGAAGGGACGAGTCCTTGACCAAAGACCCAGAAAGTGAGATTCATTCCGCAAGTAAACTCTGAGGTTTTCCTGAGTCTACCTAACAAGTATGATCTTAGATCTTAACTGTCACACCTCATCCAATTTCTGTAAGAAAGAGTCTGAGCAGAGGGTCATAGGTCAAACCCATAGACAGGATACAAATTTTGTGTAATACCGTTAAAGAGCATGCTTGGCTATACTTAATAGGAACCAAAAAGAAGTTAATTCCAGGAATTAGGACACAGACAACTTTGGGGGGCCAAAAAAGTGGAAGTTGCTAAAATGGAAGTTGTTATTAAAAGGATCTGTTAGAACCAAACAAAAGGTCTCATTTCATAGCATCACTGGGATTAGAAATACAGGATGTAGCTGTAGACACTTAGCTTGTGAAAATGAACATATGTGTGCCCTCATTAAAAATACCCTCCTCAAAAAAAAAAAATACCCTCCTCGATCCTTGTGGTTTACATTTTATTTGAATCTATGCACTTAGGACATTGGTACAAAGAGAAGAGATTCATCCCTTGGACCTTATGCAGTCACAAGTGATTATTCACTCATCTCATCATCCAGCCGCCCAGTGACCCAAGCATCCTTTACCCATGTTGCTCCTTCGTTTCCGTACCGATCAAAATAAGGCTAAGTTTTGCTACAATAACAGACAACTCCAAAATCTCAATGGCTTAATGCAACAAAAGATAATTTATCAGAGAAAGACAAATATCATATGATTTTACTTGTATGTGGAATCTGAAAAACAAAACAACACTCAGAGATACAGAGAACAGATGGGTGGTTGCTAGAGGGGAGGGAGATGAGGGGTGGGTGAAATGGGTGAAGGGGTCAAGAGGTATAAACTTCAGTTATAAAATAAATAAATCATAGGGATATCATGTACAAGCATGAGGACTATAGTCAATAATATTGTAGTACAAATTTGGAAGTTACTAAGAAAGCAAATCTTAAAAGATCTCATGACAAGAAGAAAAGAAAACTTGGAACTTTGTAGGGTGACAGATGGTAACTAGACTTTTTGTGGGGATCATTTCCCAGTGTATACAAATGTCAAATCACTATGTTGTACACCTGAAACTAATATTATATTGTATGTCAATTATACTTCAATAAAGTAATGATAATACTTTATCACTTGCACACATTGTCCAGTATGTGTCAGTAGAGGGATTCTTTCCACCTTAGATGCCAGGTTGCTGAAAGCTTTATCTTGGCACGTGCTTCCATTTTCCCTGCATAGGTTGGAAGGGATATAGCCACTGATTCTTAAAGTTTCTGCCTGGAAATGGCAGTGTCATATCTACATGTGTCAGGAACCAAAGCAAATCATATGGCCATATTACACCCCAAAGGGTGCAGGGAAGTAACCATGTGCCTGGAAATATTTATTGAATAGCAGTAACGACCACCACAGCTCCCCACAGACTGTTCACCACAGTTAAGTCTGCCTTCTCCTGAAAGGAGGGAAGTAAAAATACAAAAAGAACTGGACTAAGAATTTCTGTGTTCTTCCCTTAGTTTTTATCATCAATGTTTCTGGACTCCATTTTCCTCATCCATGAAATGAGGGTAATAATTATTGCGTGGCTCTTCCTTTTTTTTTTCTCTTTTTTTAAGTTGAGGTATAATTGATGTACTATCGCTCTGCCCTTCTCACACAATTCTTCTGAGAAACAAATGACATGATCGAAAGAAAAATAGTATATTTTAAATCCCTATTTACAAGAAAAAGAAGAAAAATCAAGATATAAGTATAGGGCTTCCCTGGTGGCACAGTGGTTGAGAGTCCGCCTGCCGATGCAGGGGACACGGGTTCGAGCCCCAGTCCGGGAAGATTCCACATGCCGTG